TATGATTTGCAGGTAGATGGCTCCACTTTCCGAGAAATCTCGAAAACAACCAATCAGAAGACTGCGTTTGTCTACTTGACTAGTATATAATAATGTATGTGAAATTTATATAAATACGTGTTGACTTTCGTAATAAAACGATCTGTTGCCTGGCTCTTGTCTTCTGTTGTTACAGCAAGACACAACAATTGCTGGTTCTCAGCGGACACCTTCTTGGAATCTAATAGAAGCAAAGAGAGGAGAATGGTGAAAGAGAACATGACTCAATGCAAAGATGGGTAACAGAGGGAGAAGCTGAGTTCAATGTGCACTGCACTGAATAAAGAAGTGAAGAGGGGTGTTAGAAAAGACAAGTGATAATTCTACGACACGCTGGTCGGCAAATTAAGCAGAACAGGCACGTCACAGGTAAAAGAGATCTCAGGACATTATATCAGATAACCAGGCCACTCGCTATCCGGAAAGAGATCAACGTAGATGATGAAACCAATAAAAGATGCTTAAGGAGACCTGATAACCAGGAGAAAGAAACAAGTCAAACAATGGGCTGATCACTTTAAAGGACTCTTGAACGAAATCAGAAATTCTGAATGCAATCAAGCTACTGAAGTCCGGGAAGGCAAAAAGACAAAACGGCATTCCTCCCGAAGCACTAAAGACGGCCCCAGAGATTACGGCCGATGTCCTCAGTGCATCACTGCAAAACGTATGGAAAGAAGGAAGGGTGTCTGCGGATTTGAAGAAGAGATACCTCGTCAAACTGCCAAAGAAGGGCGACTTAGGCCTGTGCAATAACTGGCGTGGAATAATTCTCTTGTTCACGCCAAGTAAAATACTAAGTCACATCATCCTTAAGAGAATGCAGTATGCACTGGATGCAGATCTCCGCCCACCGGAACAAGCTGTATTCAGGAGAGGCAAATCATGTGAAGATCGAATTGCAACTCTACGCATCGTCATCATAAAACAAAGCATTGAATGGCAGTCAAAACTCTATCTTAACTTTATTGATCTCGAAAAGGCCTTCACCAGACAGTGTTGACCGTGAAGTAATTTGGAAGCTACTTCGACACTACGGCGTGCAGCACCTCAAGTCTTTATCAACCTCATTCAACAGCTGTTGAAGTGGTTGAAGAGGCTGTCAGCGATGACAGGACTGCAGGTGAACATAAAGAAGACGAAGGTGATGAAGATAACCAACTAAAAGCAACAACAACAACCAGAACCAGTCACCATGAATGGGTGAGATTTAACAGAGGCTGATACCTTTCACTGATCTTGGAAGCATCGTTTCAACAGCAAGCATTGGCATGGATGAAGATTTCAAAGTCAGAATAGGAAAAACAAGATACGCCTTCATCAACCTGGAACCAATTTGAAAATCGTCTGCACTCAGAATAAACAACAAAATCCGGATTTTCAACATCAGTGTCAAGTTAATCCCTCTATATGGGTCAGAAACTGAGCCAGTGTTTAACGAAAAGTATTTTCGACAAGTCGCAGACTTTTATCAACGGCCGTCATCTTCACTAGCTCCATAGTGAAGATTAAATGTCCAGAAAGAATAAGTAACAGGAAACTCTGGCTGTGGACAAACCAATCAGGAGCCAATCGCTCAACAAATATGCGGAAGAAAGTGGAGATGGATTAGGCATACTCTGTGGAGGTCGCCTTATGATATCGCACGCCAGGCCCTCGAATGAAATCCAAATAGGAAGTGATGAGTTGGTTGTCGGTGCGAGGGTGACATGGAGGAGATCGTATGATTTGAAGGAGATGAGAGATTATGGCCAGTCTTGGATCAAGCTGAAGAGGACGTCAGAAAATAGATAAAAGTGGAGATGTTCAAGTATTGGCTTTGTAGGGATTTTGTTTGATTGCATGGAGGATTTCATCAAGAGCTGACATCAGTTAGAGAACCACTGGAAAACCTGGGAATACTGGACAGCTGTGGAGATGTGTTTTCGAAACCATATGTTCCTCTCGGAACGCAAGGAAATAATAATGATAATCTAAAGATATTGTTGATGATTTTTTTAAGGTTATTATTATTATTCCCATGTCATCCGTGCCACTGTCTGGAATTGAAATGATGCTTCCTAGATAATTGAAGGAAGTAGTCTCTGTTAAATCTCTCCCATTGATGGTGATTCATTCTGTTTGTTGTTGCTGTTGCTTTCGATTAGTTATCTTCATCATCTCCGTCTTCTGTAAGCTATTTCTTAGGTGACGGTCAATCAGTCACTTCCTGTTTAAATATACAAGGCTAAAAGTCAAATAGGTGAAAATGTAACAAGCGCTAAACCCAAGTTTTAAACGATATCTGAAAATATATAAGTAGATTGAGGTATAAGTGTAAACAAAAACCCCATTCCTTTATTCACTGCTTGCAAAACTTTTCATCTTCCCTTTCGTAAAATTTGTTTTCAATTTAATTTTCCCGCCAATTGATTGAATGGAAATGTTCAGCCTCTTTTGACATGTCGGCTCCTAGTATAGACGATTCAACGACATCTGAGGACTAACTTGAATTAATTTGGTGAGTTATGATTAACGGTGGAATCCAGCATGCATGTTTCGCCCATCTGCGACCGTCAGTTTGATTTATCTTCATGCCAATTAAGTGGTGGTATTCCCACATTGACTCGAACCTAGGCCAAACATTTTGGTTCAATCAATCAGAGAGGAAAATCAAATGTTGATTAAAAACAAATGATAATTAATGACTGTTGCGTAAGAGGTGGCCATCGTGGCCTAAATGACATTTTGAACGATGGGTATTGGGTTGAAGTCTAAATGGGAATATCACCACTCAATGGGAATGAAACTATGTCCAGATAATGAGTCCTGGATAGGACAAAACGCGCATCTTGGATTCCATCGCCAGTCACCAGACACCAAATTTTTCTTCTTTTCAGTCGGTTTATTTAAGATCACTTGAATACAAAAACCTCATTAGATTGTGTGATAGTGGTTTCGTACTGCTGAGAAAATATAGTATATCGAATCAACTCTGAGTTAGTAACTACTTATGAATTAGTGCCTAATAAGTTCTAGAGCTGCAGTGAATTATCATTAACAATATTTCATCTCAAGAAATTATAGCTTTTATTTGCAATCACACCACAAGGAAAAAAGTTTCATTTGTCCTTGCGAATCACTTAAATGGAAGAAGTTATTCTATAGTTCACAGAAGATTACAGATCCATATTTCATGGATAAATTAGTGGCGTTGCTCTCTTAGGCTCGTATAGGTAGGTGCATTCGAATCGAAGTTAAACAAGGAAATGTAAAGTATGCTGGGAAAATTCGCTTTCTATGAAGAGAATTTGGATGACACACTCCTAATAGGGTGAATGAATCTGTTAACAACTTAATTAACTTATATATTCAAATTCATCAAAATAATAATAAAGTAACATAATGGAGTTATACTCCACCACAGTGCCCAAGTTTTTTTTACTTTTATCAATAACATTAAAATTAGACTTTAACAACAAGCCGGATTCCCTTCACACTTCATTTATTAAGTGTAGTGATAGAACAGTCAAGGAATCAATATCCTGGTAACAAACAAAAAAATGAGTTATGGCAGTTTCGTGAGTGTTTGTCCCTTTTTAGGGAGGGAACATCTGTGTCCTAACGTAGGATTCTTAATCAAGAAGGAATTAGAGTGACATTTAAAAGTACAAACTCACTCAGGGACCAGCTCTGTAGGCTAAAGGACACAGTGGACCCAATTAAACAAAACAATATAATTTACAAAATACCTTGCAATGACTGTGAGGTAAACTACATAGGTCAGACTAGTCAGATTGTTGGAACATAAGAATTTAGCTAAGGTAAGAATGGTTGACCCCGAGAAGATAAGTGATTTAGAGAAAAACTCAGCAATGGCACTGCATGCACTAACACACAACCTCACAATAGGGTGGGAAAGATTCAAAATTCTGAAAAGCAAAATAGGTAGGTGGAGAGAGAGATTGATTACTGAATTCTGGCTCATTGAGTCTACATCCAACACATGCAACAGAAATAACTCAACACCAATACCAGAAACATGGAAGATATTATTACCACTGGTCAAATCAGAATAGGATAATAAATAATCTTGAAATTCTATTTCAATTCAAGCACATCACAACATTCTAACAAGTTACTTGTTATGACCATAAAAACATTCTTATTTCCCATCTGATTGTAGTTGATCAATAACACTCATATTAATAATTTTGAATGTACATTATCCCATACTGATTTTTATTTCAATGTCTGATCTGTTCTACACATGTATATAAATGAAGAAAACAGGTTGTGTGAGTAATCTTAAGAATTTCCTATGAATAGGAGCAATAGTTTGTGCTCGAAACGTCATCAGTTAATATTATTGTATAACACTGTGTGATTTATCAAAATAAAATCTTATCCACAATGGAGCTTTACTCTACCACCACAGTGCCAAAGTTTTACACTTACATCAATAATGTTCTGCATTGACTGTTAAATCACATATAAGATCCAAGTGCAGTTTATCTGGATAAAAGTTCAGTACTATCCACACTGAAGCATTTATGGGTGTCTGTTCAAAAACGTAATAGTATTAATTATTTATCAAACATTTATTGCTACTTAAGTTTATGGAAATATTTTATACACTGACCACATGCATATTAAATTATGTATACAGAAAATAGTAGACTTAATAGTTTGCTTACCCTGACTGATTGACCCTACAGAATTAACGATAACATAACATCCCGCGATATATACCTTCTGAAAACTTTATTTACGTGCTCCTTTCTGTTCAGAGTATGCACTGGTAACTTACCATAGGTTTGGGAACCGAAATTCATTGATTCATACTATTCTAGGTGTCAAGCTAAGTCATTTTCATCAGAATAAACGTAAATGAAACATAGTTTTGATGTGAAAGTAACATTTCATCAAACATTTTAGAGGCTTTTACTCCTACTAGTATATGATATTTTTGGTCAACTTACGACGTATCTGAATTCGTTTCTTTGTAGTTTTTTCAGGACCAACTTGATTTCTAACCGCACAAATCAAATCTAATCCATGCATAGTAGAATTAAGATTGGAAATTCTAACTCTACTAAGAATCTTCTCATCGGTAATTTGATTGATTACATTTTCGTTGGAAATGGGGATAACATTGTTGATAGTTGATTTCGCTGGATCGCCTCCAAAAAGTTTGAATTCATCAGTCTGTAAAGGTGAGTTAGGACTTTCGAATCGCCATATAACTATGCCAGGAGGATTTCCAGGTGGATTCACTCTGCATGTAGCCTCCAACGCTGAGCCAACATAGAGACCGTCTGATTCATTCATAGATTTATCCCAATCAATAATTTCAGGATCGCCTGGTAGAGCTATTGTTAAAATAAAAAGAGAAGCGTTAAATTTTCTTAGTGTTTATCATAAGTGTGTGTATATTATGTTACGCTGAAAAATATCATTTTGAGATGTGTTGCATGAGTAATCAGCTGTACATATTTAACTAGAAATTTATGTTGTTCACAATCTATGAGTATTAATTCATTTCAGTACCCGATTACAATGCGTTTTTCCTCTAATCAAAAAAAGTGATATGTCTTTTATTCCCAATTAGTCGGGATGGCGTAATACGATTATGCAAACTTCAGGCAGAAAAGATGTTAACAACATATTTTTTTAAGTAATACTGTTTAACATTTGGAACTGAAGAACCTATCAGCAGACAGATGACTTCTAACATTTTTACAGTGTCCACTTTTTAGCTTTGATGAGAGAAACGTCTAAAAGACTGAACTTTATTATTATTTTATTCCTTCGCGTTCCTCGTAGAACTTTCCGCCTCAAGGACAAGCTGTGAAGTTTCAGAATCATAGTCATTTGTTTCTACGAAGTGATGACGCATGTCTCATGCTCAACCTTCCCTCCTTACCTGGATTACTACCGATTAAGCACTGTGTAACAATGCGCCGGCTGGAAGTCGAATCCATGACGATGTGCGTGATTGCCGTGTATTCTACTGATGAACCACCAAGTCGCTCGGAAAATAAGAATAGTCAGTAAGTTTCCTAAAATGTTTCCAACCAATCATTTCGTAACCAACTCTTACTTTGAAAGTGATGCAAAGGTAGTAATTTTATAGTAGTAAGAAATTCAGATTGTAAGAAATACACATTAAAACAAAGTTTTGATTACCTCAATAATAAATTAAAATTATTATTTACTATGATTGAGATTCCTCATCAAAAACTTTGTGAAAAAATTTAGTTTTAAATTTTTCTGTCATTATTTACCTTGTAGTTTTTTCAAGAAAATATGATGCAGCCAACACCCCTGTACCTTCTAATGGGTGAAATGAGTGAATAGACTATATTTATTACTAAAATTTGAATTGTTATTAAGCATCCTTCAAAGTAAATGTCAGTCAATTACTATATTCACTTATAATACTATAATCATCACTATAGTAACCATGATAATTACAAGAAGAAAGACCATATGTATATATCTTTCTAAAACATAAACATTATTTTCCTCCTTGTTGATTAGGCGGGAAATCAGATTTATGAAAAAGTATGACATAAAAAAATGGTGTAAGTAGCACAGGTAATATGTACCATACTTTCAGCCTCTTTTGCCATGGAATCTTTAGATGAACTCACTAAAAACAACATTAATTAACCCCTATAAATGCTTGTAAAACCTTTGGACTAAGTGTGCGTATCAGTTTAACAGAATATACTAATATACCAATATTGATCGGCGTAATGTTGATAAGTCTCAACCTAGAAAGTAAAGCTGTCCAGTACTCCTTGGTTTTCAATCCTTTTTTAAGTGCAGATTTGCTAAATATTAGTCATTTTCAGTTATTGGCTTTGTAGGGATTTTGTTTGATTGCATGGAGGATTTCCTCGTGAGCTGACATCAGTTAGAGAACCACTGGAAAACCTGGGAGTACTGGACAGCTGTTTCGTCCTGGTTTGGGACTCTCCAACAGTCCGCACCCATCGGAGTTCGAAGACAGGACCTTCTGGTTACAAGACGAGCTCGTAGACCGTGGAGCCACTGGGACCCGATCCAATGGCCAGCCCATGAATTCTAACTTCTAGTAATTCACGACATGGCGCGACCATGTTAGAATTCCAGGACCACTGGATCAGGTCCCAGTGGCTCAACGGTCTACGAGCTCGCCTTGTAACCAGAAGGTCCTGTCTTCGAACTCCGATGGGTGCGGACTGTTGGAGAGTCCCAAACCAGGACGAAACAGCTGTTCAGTACTTCCAGGTTTTCCAGTGGTTCTCTAACTGATTTCAGCTCACGAGGAAATCCTCCATGCAATCAAATATTAGTAAGCAATTTATTTCATCTAATAATTTCTCCTTTTCGAATATTTTTAACTTGGATGAGGCACGATAACTATTTCTTCTTAACACTGATAATCATGTTGGTTAGGAAAAGATATTTTCTCTGTAGGAATGATAATCAGCCCAGTCAGATGGAAGTCCATATGTAGTAGAATGAGAATTCAGAACACTGTCATGATTACATTTCAGGCTTCATTATTCCGCCAAAGCGGTTGCGCAGTTTACGTGAAGTAATGGAATGAAATTTTCAGATGTAAGACTAACATGTCATAAGTTTAGGCAAGTCATTACATGTGTGGAATACTGTCTACATTTAATTAAGCATATAAACCAATTTCCCTTCCAGTTTGTCACTGAGGTCGACACAAAGTTTTTTCTTCTGTAATATAAGTACACTAAATATTTAACCATTGATGTGAGATTGATTGTATCTTTTTACAATTACATATGTGAGATGTATTCAATGTTCTTGCAATTCTTCTATACATTGAGTTTATATTTATCATTATACAGACGACTTCAATTAGCGGGTATTATTAATTGTCCAATAAAGCCATCCCTACAGTCAGTTTCACTTTGTTTTATGTATGGAGAGGAAATGTGCTATCAATTATGTGAATCCGACTTTAGAAAAGCTTGATGTTTTAATCATACGCCACTCAATAAACGTGCCATAATTAAACAAGATTTCTGTAGAGTTTTGTAATTGAGTCTATTTAAGCAACTTGACTTGTCTGTATCTTTAAGATCAGCTTAATTATATACTGAATTATCCTTATGTACACATTGATGTTTCCTTTATTGTGGGTCGTGGATTCAGTGGTTGAATGCTGACCACTCACACAAGTAGTCCGGAGTTGAATTCCCGACCGACATACTCCTAAACCTTAATTAGACGTTAGTAAGACCTGTAAATAGGGAAGGCTAGACGTAAGGCTAGCAACCCCACCGCCATTATCTAAACTTCAGATCTGAGATTTTAAGGCTCCATTTTCTACTCGAAACGCAGAGGATCGAGAAATGTATTCTCTTATTACAGGCTCTTCATGAAGTTGCTTATTCTGCTCTAAACATATCCCAGGTTTTGGTTGAAAGATATTTTGTTTTTGTTTTATTTGTTGGAGTTCTCAGGTAGTATATCATAGTGTCCAGAAAAGATCAGCAACAAGGATCTCTACCAATGAACGAACCAACGCAGCAGGAGTCGATTGTGCAACAAATTTGCAGGAAGAAAAGGAGATGGATTGGCTATACTCTGAGAAAACAAATCATCAAGTGAGTGACATCACAGACTGGGTCATTGCTCAAGTGAAACCCGAACGGCAAACGGCCAGTTGATCGTCCAAGGGTGACTTGGAGGAGGTCACGTGAAAAGAAAATAAAAGCATGTGGGTAGACGTGGACCCACGTGAAAATGTTGGCAAAGAACCGCACACAATGGATACGTGCGTCTGAAGCCTTATGCTCCTCTAGGAACCAAAGGAAACAATAATAATAATATCGCAGTGGATACCAAAAGTTATGGTTTTTGTTTGTAATGTGCACACAGTCGTCGACATTATGTGGTAATCTATGTGAACAGTAACATATCCATGCGGGAAATGAAAACATATAAATTATTTATTCATAAAAGGGCAGTAAAACTGGCAGGATTTAGTCAAATGTTTGACACTTACAATTAGGAGTTAGGCAGTCAATCTGTCAGCTCTCTGTATTCGATTTTAAGGCTCAAATAGCAGTTACCTGCCTCAACTTCAGTAAGAAGAATGTCTAATATATAAAAAAGCAGCATATGCATTACTGATAACCTGAAGAAATCTTCAACCTTATAAAGATTGTTGATTTAGCTTATTGTACAGTTTGACAAATTTTTATAACGATTTCGACAACTGTACAGATCAAAGGATTCAATCTTTTATAGACAGTATTCAGTATCATGTGTTTTTACAGAGTATATGCCTGAAAAATAGGTATTTTTGTCACAAACACGTGAGATATTCGCTTCGACAAATATTCACTTATTCCTTTCAATAAATTCTGATGAAATCCCTACATCTGAAATGCTTTCTTCTCTGAAAAATACTTTTATGAAACTAACAAATGATTTAAGCGCTTACGCTTCTTTAAATGTTTAGCACTTAAACGTGAAATTCTTTAGAACTCTGAATTGAGAACAGAATTTCACTGTCATACATGTTGGCTTAAATACTGAAGCTGGTTGTGGTTAAAAATACTGTGTAGGCGGTCGTAAGAAGACATTTCGACTGTTCATGATAGATTTAAAGGGGTAAAGGACAATGTCTCGCTACTGATCCTGGTAAAGGAGATACTAAAAAAGTGTTTTGTGATTTGTGATATAAGAAGCCTGTAGATAAGTTATTCTAAAGGGTGAGTAAATTTATTCATTCTGTGAATGCACGCCTAATTGTTTATCATGTTTTGGCTAGATTATTTCGAAGTAGTATATTTGAAATTAATGAAAGCAACAACTAATTTTCAAAATTTATAAATCAATATAAAGATTAACTCTGACCATTAATCATGGAAAAGCTACTTACATTGAATTACAATCATTATCTCCGCTCTTAGTTTCTGTTCATATAAATGATTTGAACGTAATGTCGCTTTATTGCTAACCAAGCATACAAGTCGATCTCGTGTGGCCAGCCTTCTTTTGTCGATTTCCAGCTCGAACTTGTCTTTGTTTACTTCTCGAGAATCATTTTTATCATTTTCATCCTCCAAATTATCATTTGATGTTGATATAAGATTACCATTGTGAAACCATTCAAATTTTGGAGTAGGATAACCACCTTTAGCTTGACAGATGAGTTTTAATGAACTGCTATTGGCTGAGTTAGCTTCATTAGAGTCAAAAGCCACAACCAGCTGACCACTGGCAGAAGGTTGAGGTACACCAGGTAAGGTTAAAATCTTTGGCGGTGTTGGTTTCACTTAAAACGAATAATCGGATAAAAAAAAATAGATAATGATCAATTAAATTATGAGAAAAAGTTATATAGTACTTATCAGTCATTAGACCTTATCTGTAACAGAATCCTTTGTAATCCTGTGACATGTAAATATCCAACCGCTTCAGCAAATGTGAAAGATTTTCATCTAGAGTTTAAAACTACTTGTGAAAAGAGACATTTGAAGCACACTTGCTGTTACATGCATATAAAGTTCAAATTTAATGCAGCTGGTCCTGGTCTTGGATTTGTATCAGTTTGTATCCAGTGAACTGTCAGAAATCTGATTAGTAGACTTTCATGCACCCTCAAACTGAATTGTACTTGAGGCTTGGAAATATTATCACAAGATCATACGTCAAACAGAAGTATACCAAAATAAATAATTAGGCTAGATTTGTAGAATATAATAGGCATCTAACGTGGGGATGATAATCGTTGAGATGCTCTTGACGCGCTTTTCGATTAGTGTGCTACATTCACTCTCATTTCCCTGGTGTTTCTGTTCAGGAAGTTCTGGAATTTATTGTAACTTGCTTACCTTCGAACACTGAATCTATGGACATAATCGTGTTCACTATTAATGCCTATGACTATCTATTTGTCGCATCGTTACCATTTAGCACTAATTTATACCTATAACTGTTAATATTATTGAATTTACATGACCAAATTAACCCAAGTCAGTGAGTCCGTGGTTTTCATATCATATTTTTCAACTGTATTTGATAGTGGTAATACTACTACGATTTTTGTTGTTGTCGCTACCTTTCCTGCTGTGATCTTTTGTTATTATTCTGATTGCTTCATTTCTTGTTTTCCTGATTCTAAAGCGAGCAACCCAAAAAGTCGCTCCTCTGCAACCTATATATGTATGTAACAACTCTCGTCTCAGGCATAAGGTTGGTAATCCCACATTGTAAACAAAACTGCTACAGAAACTTCAGAACAATAAGCCTCCTTGAGATAAAAGAAAAAGTCTGTTAGGGGATATGGAACATCCGCACTATGTATGAAACTGGCAAAGCGGCCCAGATTACAAATGAGATGAAAAGATATGGTATTCAAGTACTGGGAATTTGTGAAAGCAGATGGAACCAGCTGCAGGCAGAAGAGGTCACACAACATTCCACCAAACAACTAGGTTCCTATCACGGAAAAGCTCAACATAAATTAAGCCAGTGAAGGATGACAATGGAAAGTCAATCACCAAAGAGGTGGAGCAAAGGAAACACTGGATTGAGCACTTCCAAAGACTTCTGAACCAACCACCAACAACAAAGCACACAATAATACCAACACCAGAAGCAGAACTACCAGTGGGCATCAACCTTTCGACGAAAACAGAAATCTTGAAGGCACTAAACAGCATAAAAATCTGGAAAAGCAGCAGGGCCAGATGGAATTCTCGCAGAAGCATTGAAAATGGACCCAGACACATCAGCGGACTTGATGACACCACTGCTGTGGATGTTGTAGAAAGAGGGAAAGGTACCTACGCATTGGAGGAAAGACTACCTATTCAAACTGCTAAACAAAGGAGACTTAAGTCAATGCAAGAACTGGCGCGGCATTATGATCCTGTCCATCCAAAAGAAAATACTAAACCGCATCATCCTGAAGAGAATCAAACACTCGCTGAATGATAAACTTCGACCGGAACAAGCTGGATTCACGAGAAAAAGTCATGCATCGGTCAAATCGCAACATTATGTATCATCACCGAACACAGCGTGTAACGGCAGTCACCTCTCTATCTCAACCTGTGCGTCGGTGGTACAGTGGTTAGGACTCTCGCCGACCATGCACATAGTCCGAGGTTCGAGCCTCCGCCGACACACACCTGATATCTATGGTCGGCCTGCAAAATTTGGGCTACCGATATCCATGCTGAAAATTCCATACTTGTACTAAAAAATACAGTGTGGAATCAAGCTGTAAATCAAAAATCAAAATAAAATAAACCTCGTTGACTTTGAAAAGGCCTTCGACTGCGTCGATCGAGAGATGATTTGACAACTATGTCGCTACAACGGGGTACCGCCACCAATAATGTACCTCATTTTAACGGTTGTACGACAACGCTGCATGCCAAGTAATCCACAACGGGAATCTCACCGAATCCTTTAAAGTGGGGACAGGAGTGGACAAGACTGGCCGCTTACTATATCCAATGATTTTCCTGGTTGCGGTACATTGGGTAAATGCAACAGACAATGGGCAACGACGAGACAGGCATAAAATCTACCTACACAAAAAACTTGGAGGATCTGAACTTCGTTATTGATATATGTCTGATTTTCCACAAACTGGAGATATGCTAGTGAAAAGCAACAAGTTGGCAGAAGAAGCATCCGGAGAAGATAGGACTTCAGGTGAACATAGATAAAACAGAGGTGATGAAGATTCCTGGCCAACACCAACAGCAACAACAACAGACAACAATCATCATAAATGGGAGGAACCTGAAAGAAACAACCTCCTTTACCTACCTACCTCGGAAGCATCGTTTCAACTACAGGCCGATGGAACTGACGAGGATATCAAGGCCAGAATCGGAAAAGCAAGACAAGCTTTCATTACTCTCAAGTCTGTGTGGAGATCAGCAGCATTCAGCATGAGAAATAAGATCCGGATTTTCAACTCCATTGTAAAGTTAGTCGGTGCTACTATACGGACCAGAGATTTGACGCCGCGTCACTAAGGCTACTTCGAACAAACTACAGACCTTCATAAATAGCTGTCTTCGTTCAATACTACTCAAGATCAGATGGCCAGCCAGAGAAGATCAGCAACAGGGATGTCCAGGAGCGAACCAACCCAGTAGGAACCAACTGAGCGAAAAGTATGCAAGAAGAAATGGAGTTGGATTGGCCATACTCTGAGGAAACTACCAGGCGACACCACACGCCAGGCCCTCGGGTGGAACCCTAACGGGAAGTGGCGAGATGGTCGTCAGTACAAGGGTGATATGGAGCGGATCATGTGAAGGGGAGATGAAAGCTTTTGGGCAGATATGGAGCCACGTAAAAAGGTTGGCAGAGAACCGAACTGAACTTGGGTACACTGTCAATCTTATCCTGTTTGTAACGCCAAAGACTGACATACAGTTAGCTACCTAGTTAGTTGTGGCTAGTGCTGAAATCTGTCATCAACCAAATAATTTAGGCTTAATCCTTAGTTATCATCGAAGCGTCCGTACTAGATGACGACATGACAACGGAGATTGAGCATTTAAGTCTAATAAAAAATTAGCCAGTGGGGGACTCAGAATAGTTTCAGCAAGTAATAAAACACCAGATTCAGAAGAACGTTAGGGCTGAAGATGCAGTGATCTAAAAGCATAACAGGAAAGAAATTATTATACTACAAGGAACATGAGACTTGATAGTCTCATTGGGATAAACCACGGTAGAATATTCGAAAAGCTATGAAATAAATTCTGAACGTGCTTTCAAGAACAAAATTAGTCTGAGAATTTAGTAGTACTTGAAAAAGCTTACTTCGTTTTCCATGAAACCTAAAATATTTGCTGAATCTTAGTCTTTGTGCCCATAAATGGTAATAAAGTACATCTCGATATCTAGTTGCTGACATAAAATGATTCAACAACTTAATTATTATTATTATTGTATCCTTTAGTTCCTAGAGGAACATAGGGCTTCAGCTGCGCACCTCCATTGACTTCGGTTTTCTGACAACTTTTTCACCCTGCTCCAGGTCTGCCCACATGCTTTCATCTCCTCTTCACATGACCTCCTCCAAGTCACCCTTGGACGACCAACTCGCCGCCTCCCTTTCGGGTTCCACTCGAGGGCTTGTCTAGTGATGTCACTTGATGGTTTCCTCAGCGTATGGCCAATCCATCTCCATTTCTTTCTGCCTATTTGTTTCACAATCGGTTCCTGATTGGTTCGCTCCCAGAGATCCCTGTTGCTGATCTTTTCTGGCCATCTGATCTTGAGTATTGAGCGGAGACAGTTGTTAATGAAGGTTTGAAGTTTGTTTGAGATGCTCTTTATGACTCGCCAAGTCTCTGATCCGTATAGTAGCACTGACTTCACATTGGAGTTGAAAATCCGGATCTTATTTTTGATGCTGATTGCTGTTGACCTCCACACAGATTTGAGAGTAATGAAAGCTTGTCTTGCTTTTCCGATTCTGGCTTTGATGTCCTCGTCAGTTCCGCCTGTAGTTGAGACGATGCTTCCCAGGTAGGTGAAGGAGGTTGTTTCTTTCAGGTTCTTCCCATTTATGCTTATTGTGGTCTGTTGTTGCTGTTGATGTTGGCAAGGAATCTTCATCATCTCTGTTTTATCTATGTTCACGTGAAGTCCTATCTTTGATGCTTCTTCTGCCAACTTGTTACTTTTCATTTGCATATCTTCCAGTTTATGGGAAATCAGACATATATCATCGGCGAAATCCAGATCCTCCAAGTCTTTTGTGTCAGTCCATTTTATGCCTGTTCCCTCGTTGGTTGCCGTTGTCTGTCGCATTATCCAATCAATTGCAATCAGGAAGATCATTGGTGATAGTAGACAGCCTTGCCTCACTCCCGTCCTCACTTCGAAGGCTTCCGTAAGTTTCCCGTTGTGGATTACTTGGCATGCAGCATTGTCGTATAACTGTTGGATGAGGTGTATAATTGTCGATGGGACCCCGTAGTAGCGAAGTAGTTTCCAAATGACCTCTCGATCGACGCTGTCGAAGGCCTTTTCAAAGTCGATGAAGTTGAGATAGAGAGGTGACTGCCATTCCAAGCTTTGTTCAATGATGATCCGTAGAGTGGCGATTTGATCAATACATGATTTGTTTCTCCTGAATCCAGCCTGTTCCGGACGAAGTTTTTCATCTAGGGCTTGTTTGATTCTCTCCAGGATGATGCGACTTAGTATCTTGCTTGGAATGGACAGAAGCATAATTCCACGCCAGTTTTTACATTGACTTAAGTCTCCTTTCTTTGGAAGTTTGAATAAGTAACTGTTCTTCCAATCCTCGGGTACTTTGCCCTCTTTCCACACCTTCTCCAGTAGTGGTGTCATCAAGTCCGCTGTTGTCTCTGGGTCTATTTTCAAAGCCTCTGCTGGGATTCCATCTGGTCCCGGTGTTTTCCCAGTTTTAAGCATCTTGATTGCATTCAGGACTTCTGATTTCGTCGGGGGGTCAGTGTTCACTGGTAGTTCTGCTTCCGTTGTTGGTATTGCTGGACGTGTTGTAGGTGGCGGACGATTTAGAAGTCTTTTGAAGTGTTCAACCCAGTGCTTTCTCTGTTCCACCTCTTTGGTGATTGACTTTCCATTGTCGTCCTTTATTGGCTTAATCTGTGTCGAACGTTTGCCCGAAAGGTTCCTAGTTGTTTGGTAGAGTGTGGCGAGGTCTCCTTTGCCTGCAGCTTGTTCTGCTTCGTTTGCCATGGTTTCATAATATTTTCTTTTGTCTTCCCTGGCACTTTTCTTCACTCTTTTGTTCAGTGTATTGTAGCTTGCATTCAGCTCCTGTTTTTGTTGCTCGTCCGTGCACTGGATAATCTTTTGCTTCACTGTCCTTCTCTCTTCTATTAGTTTCCAAGTGTCCGTAGTGAGCCACTGTTTGTCCTGTCTCTTTTTTCTGCCTAGAATTTCTATGCAGGTTTGGCTCCACACCGTTTTCAAGTTGTTCCAGTGCTTTTCAACGCCGACCTCTTCGCTAGTGTTGATTTGTGTCTCGGCTTTGTCCTTTATGCTTGCAATGAAGATGTCCTTTGTAGCCTGGTCCTTCAGCTTTTGAGTGTTGAACTTGGCTTGTGGTCTATCTGCAGCTCCTGATTCCCTGAAAGCTTTTAATTTGATTTGGATTGTCCCTTGTACGAGATAGTGGTCTGAGCCAACGTCTGCTCCTCTTCTTGCTTTTGTGTCCAGTAGGCTGCGCCTCCACTTCCTTGAGATTGAGATGAAGTCGATTTGGTTTTTGGTTTGCCCGTCTGGTGACACCCATGTAGCCTTGTGGATATCTTTGTGCTTGTATACACTGCCACCAATCACCAGTTCGTTGAAGGCGCAGAAGTCGGCGAAGAGTTCTCCGTTTTCATTCATTTCTCCTAGAGCTTCTCTACCCATGATGAGTTCCCTTCCCGTATTGTCTGGTCCCAGTTTGGCGTTCATGTCTCCCATTAGTATTTTCATGTCGCCAGCTGGAGTATTGTCCATTGTTGCCTGTAGTTGCCTGTAGAATTCTTCTTTCTTCTCGAGGTCTGCGTTGTTTGTGGGTGCATAACATTGTATGATTGACACTTTCCTTCCTTTAATAATCTAGTGTAATTTAGTGTACAAACCCGCTCAAAACTAAAACATCTTACATTGTAATAACAGCTGCAACAAATCCCTATAGAATACGGTCTCATCTAAGGACAGAATTAGCTGTAGAGTGTACTTGTTAACACTTGTCTTATTTTCCGCCACTATTAAGTTTTGAAAATGTAAAAAAAAATTTTTCATTTTCTAAAATTTTGTAATCTCATCAAATTGAAGAATTATTCATTGTCCTGTCTGAAAACGTTTTGACACAAAATACAAAATTAAATTGAAATGATTGATGACTGAATTTTGAGTAATTAACGTTAAGCACGCAAGCTGCATTACAATATGAATGGAAATTGATCAATTTCTTACCACAAATGGAGATATATTTGTGTACAAACTAACTGACATTCAGACAAAACAGACACTGAGATAGTTTGAAAAGAAAGAAGAGTTAAAGATAGACAAACAGTCTATTTTCACTTAAACTATCAAGTCGCGATTCATGAAAATTCATTTTAGGAGTGATAGTTAACTGAGATCACAAATTAACTTCAAGGAGATTTGAATGAGACATTTCTCACAATTACATTCAGATTAGTATTTGAAACTACTGTATTTGAACCATAAAGGTCGCAAATATAAACTTAACTGAAGATACACGCTAAAGAAAACTAGAAACTCAACCTACATGAAAGCATCTGTATGTGCTGCCTGAAAATAGGGAATCAACAAAAATTAATTAACGGATACAGGTAAAGCTAGATTAACGTGTTCAGTGATCTACAGCCTATCGAGAATAATGTGGTGATTTTGGTAAATTCAACTTTCCAAGCAACTTTGAAGCTATTGTAGTCAGACTATGAAGCTTCATATTGTTATAACTCTTAGACGTTGAAACATAATGCAAGAATTCCCACTTTATTATACTCCTCTTATTTTTTCACAACGCTTCCATTATTCTTTCAAGTGAGTTAAGTCATATATTGTTACCGTTGTAATTCCTTACATACCCTAGTTAGTATTGTATTCTGTCATTAAACTTCCTATTACGGAATTGTTTGTAAATCCCTCCAAAATGATCTAACCACAATATTTGAAAGTTTCAACTGAATATGCAATTACTATCTGTTTTTCTCCTTATCTGCCTATCATTATTCTGATATTTACGTGTCATTTGTTGATATTATCCTTATTACTCCTCTTTGTCCCTGTTCAATCGCTAGTTTCAATACTTCCTTTCGAGGTTGTTAAATACATTGATCATGCGTTGTCTTACGGTGCAACTTTATTTGAGTGAACGAAGGTCATTCTAACTCTGGACTACCTGCATGAAACATCGATGCGCTTGTTGTGTGCAGAGGTATTGATCCCACCTTGTTGGGAATATCCTACTTGATTCTAAGGTAGTTTTCATAGTTGAATTTCGGTTAACTAACTCTACCCTACAGTTCTTGTTTTGTGCTTAGAAACCAAAATTGCCCGTATAAGTGCCTTACAGCACTGTTCAGTTAGTTTTGAGTTTTTGAAGTTATTATTGTGGAGTGGAACCACAAATAGCTTTCAGTCACTAACAGTCGTCTTTTTCTCTGTCTTCGGAACATTCTGTAAGTGTGCGTTTCTCAAGGAGGTTTTTTCAGCTATACAGCAGGACACAGAGATCAGCTTCCTGCATTCAGACTACAATGAGTTGGTTTTGGTTTTGAAACTCACCATTCCTGTTATTTTTTCATGTAATTAACTGTTGGTTAAGCAAATCATGAAGTAGTTACTCTTCTAATTTAACTTGAAATTTATGGAAAAACATGTTGGGAACATGTATGAAAAAATATTCAATTAAAATGCATATTCATAACCATATTTAGTCCTTCAAAAATATACATAAATCTTAAGAAATTTAAATGATGCTAACATTTACTTACCTAATATGACCAACAGTGTTTGACGCCGAAGTGGGTTTTGTCCAGCAACAGGTGAAACTTGACACTCGAATACTCCAGCATCTTCTCGACTAACATTGTGAATTAATAAATCGTGTACTCCTTGCTCAGAGTCACCTTGCATGGAATATCGTGGCCAGTCAGGAATATTTCTTTTATAGCCTAATATAGAATGTAAATGAATTAAACAAAAATTACATGTATATATTTTATGTCGTGAGATGTGTATTTTGGATTTTTTATTTAAAATTGCAATAAGGCGTAATTTAATATTTAACACGAAACGCAACTATAGATTAAAATGTATTTTAGAGCGCATTCAAGGGAATAATAATTATCATAAAGTCTGAATAAAGAACTTTACCTAACAGTTGTTGAAGAAATGTGTTTCTTATCAGATTTCCTTGAACGAAGCTGAGGTCTCTATAAACCTGCCTCCGTAATCCAATTTAGGATCAAAGTTCAATTTACTTCATAATATTTTCAATCCCTTCTTTGTTTTTCTTTCTTTCTTACCAATATCTTTGCTTTATCTCTCAACCTTGACCTGTACTGTTATAATTCATGCCTTCTATAATAACTGTGTATGACAAGTAGGTGAGTGATCAGAATGTTCAAAATGAATTGCGTAAATACACTATACGTTTCAGATTCTGGTCGAGATCGAGAGATTCATATAGGGAAATAACTGCTTTAAAAATGGGTTTCCTGCTGAGCTGAGACATGAGATAATACCAGATGATAAATTGGTTAAATTTTTTAGGTCAGAGTATGCTTAAGATAATACGAATGGAGATAATTCGTTACAGTTGTGTTTTCGTAACAATATTACACTGGAGTTCCATTTGAGTGATATAATCTTTTCCTTTATTAGTTTTCCGGTAGATCGCTTATACATAAATAAGGATTAGTTTATCAGTTGGACGAAAAACTCAGTTTTTTGAGGCATAGTCATTATTGAATAAACCAGGCAGCGAAATGGTTTCAGGATTTCATTATATTCATTTCAGTGTATTTGGCCGCTAAGGACGATGAGGAAATAAGTTTTGTACACCTACCTACTTATGATAAGGGTTAAAGAACACCAGTTTGTATTATTTTCGAACGCATATATGTATGATCTCATCAGAGTAAAAGTTTTTAAATTCTGCGGTTAACAATGCTGCTGGTATTCGCGTATTTATCCTAATTGTCGAATCACACTGCTGGTTCCGTAGCTTAGTCAGCCAAAGCTTCGTACCAATCACGTGAATGTCTAGGGTTCGCTCCCCTCCAGAGCCAGCGGTTTTGTGTGTCAGTGGTTCAGTGGTAGGACGCCCGCCAATCACACATGCGGTCCAGAGACCGACCCTCGGTCGATGCACTCCTTTATCTCATTAGGTCAGTAAGGAGAGAAGGTTGTGCTAGGTGAGGCTAGCAAACTCCTCCAGTGGAAATATAACTACTTCTACCGAAACTTCGGAGCTTCAGCCTGAAGCCCTGTGCTCTGATAGCAATGTAAAGGAATAAAAAGAAAGTTATTATAAATGAAAGTATGCTATATTTTATTGATTATTCTGCAAAAGTGCCCTGAACAAATGGCTGTATCTTCTTTATATGCTATCGATTGTCACATGATTAGCATAATTTATTCAGTAATATAGTGCGTCAGTGCCATAGTGGCGAGGACACTCGCCGACCATGCACATGGTCCGGTGTTCGATCCCCGACCGTCTCACTCCTTCACTTCGCCAAACCCGCAATAAAAGTCGGTAAAGGGGAAAGGTTGGGCATGAGGCTAGCAACTTCATCCTGTAAGAATAAACAATGATACAGAAACTTCAAGCCCCTAGCTTGAGGCCCTATGTTCCACTGGGAATGTGAAGGGAAAAAAATTCAGTAATATAAGTAAGAAAAGTAAACGAATCCATTTCTCTGAAGGGAATATTCAGTGGTGCTAATTTTCACTTGCCGGTAATTTTGCTTAATGTCCACCTATTTCTGTTATCACACATCTTTCACACGAACAAGTGTCCTTTTGAAATGAATTTAATAGAAAATAGGTCAGCGAAAAGTACTCCTTTCGTAATAACTCATCCGAACTGTAAAGTTCAAAAAGAATCTCTCAGGATATTTCAACAAATATCAAATAATGATATCATTTAGTAATAAAAACACACTGAATCACGTAAGAGGACAATTTGCTTAGACAGTTCAACTTTATATCAATGATCAGGTGATGACCAATGTTCAGGTATAGTTTTAAAGAAAATTGTTAGCACTTCCCACTTATTTTGTCAATTTCTAAGACCATTTTAAGAACACCACATATTTGTTAAGTTATAAAAAAATGAATTTTTTCTGATGTGCACCATTTTTCATATACATATACATATAACTGAATGACAGTACAAAATACTTGTCACTGTCTTTCATGCAGCCTTCTTAAACAGACATAACAGTAATTCTTTTGTTTTATGTCATAAATAAAGTCGTAAAGTCTTTTTTGCAATACGTTTTCTTAACAATAAAATAGTCACATGTCAATTGTTATTTGATGTTTACAAGGAAGCCAGGAGTCTGAAGTTAAAAAGCCGATATTTATTTCACTGTGTACGCGGAAAGTTTATCTGATTGTCTACGTTTTGAAGGAAGTAACTGTACATTTGCCACAACAGTACTCACTAGTTATTCTCATTGAACGGAACAGTAGATCCGTCTAGTGTGGATTTGATCTTTTATGTGAGAAGTAATTTCAAAATGAAAATACAGTGTCGAGAATGAGAATAATCATTAAGTACACTTCAATGTAAAAATCGTCATTATCTGAAGTTGTGACTGTGTTCAATGCTGAAGACTGGGATGCAGTCAAGCATACTCAAAATTGTACAAACTGTTATTACAAGAATGAATTATTTGGTAAAAATATAATCAATGGAAACAAAGAAAATTGTTGAAATAACAATAGAAAAACATTGAGGTTATAATAGGATAAATAAAGATGACAATAGCAGAGACTAAAATGAATTATTACTATCTTTGTTAGCAACAGATGAAATAATAGTAATAGTGAAAAACAATATAACTGACGACAAAATGATGAAGGATATGTCAATGTCCACTACTAAAATGTAATAAAGTTGGGTAACTTGAAAATATTGGTGATAGATATATGGCAGACGTCTCTTTTCATATATATATATATATATATATATATATATATATATATATGAAAAACAATGAAGTGGAATAATACAAAACGTTCAGGACAAATATGGAAAAATCGAAACAAAATAAAGTGAGCCTAACACGTCTCCTTGCATAGGAATGTGGATTTTGTCTAAGTAATGAGATGGCTGGTATATAAAAATCTATCATTATTCTGCTTACAAACTGCATGACAACTTGTGCTGAATTTCACAGTATAATACAGAATAAAAACTTGTTAACAGTATCGAAAGATGCAATTCAACTGATTTTCTCAAGTATTGGTTTTGTAAGGAATTTGTTTGGTCGGATAGAGGATTTCATCATGAGCTGACATCAGTTAGAGAACCATTGGATAACCTGCATAGAGTACTGGATAGCTAATTGTTTTATCCTAGTTTGGGACTGTTCAGTACTACGTAGACACCACCATGTTTCGAACCCAGGACCGTCTGGTTACAAGGCTAGCGAGCTCGTAGACAGCTGAGCCACTGAGACTCGATCCAATGGCCAGCCCATGAATTCTAGCTTCTGCCAATTCACAACATAGCGCGACCGTTTTGATGAGTTACTGCCTCATCTGAAGAGTCCCAAACTAAGACGAAACAGCTGTCCAGTACCCCCAGCTGGTTTTCCAGTGGTTCTCTAACTGATGTCAGCTCATGATGAAATCCTCCATCCAATCAACTGATTTTATCAGTAAGTTTCATTATATTAAGAAGTGTATTGAAGGGACTTTGAAGTATAGTATGGTACCCACATTATCTTATAGTTCTTTTGTTCACTGAGGTTTTTGAAAAGCAGAGAATGCAAGAGAAAAAGGTATTAAAGCCTTATATAGTGAAATAATGAGAAGACTAAGTACTGTGTAAACTATCTTCTTTTTGGCTTTATTTTTGTTTTACATCAGCGCTCAAGCAAAACGGTATGCTTGTTGCTCAATCAAGTATATAAAATTGAAACTAAACTGTTCGTAAGATCACAAATTTAGCTGGACCACATGATCTCAAGTCAGGTTATATTAAGTTTCTGTGCCTTTAGGCGTTGAATCTCATTTATTTAAATTATTGCATATATATTTATTCACAGAATTATATTCACAACAACCAAAAAAATTTATCCATTTTGTTTTTATAGCTCTATTAAATAAAAATAAATTTCACAAGACTTAACTAATTCCCTTTTTATTAGGTATGCAAGAAATGGAATCGTGCTGTAAAGAATTGCAACGAATATAATATACGTAAACAACTCCATTCTTATAGATAATCTCAGATCCTGCAAGACTTTTTGGTGAACAATTCTTCAATAGTATGAGTGATCCTGGTTGTAAATTGATTCGTAACTTTCTCACTATAGATAACTGTTTATAAAAATACTAGTGGAAAGATAATATGAACAAGCGAACCGTATTTTCAAGTATTGAACTTATAGGGATTTTTTTTATTGGTTGGAGGATTTCATCATGAGCTGCATATCAGTGAGAGAATGGATCAAGTCCCGGTGGCCTAATGATCTGCCATCTCACCTTGTAACCAGAAGGTCCTGGGTTCGAACCCTGGTGATTGGTGCGTACTGTGAAGAGTCGTAAACTAGGACGAAACAGCTATGCAGTACTCCATGCAAGTTTTTCAATGGTTCTCCTACTGATGTAGGCCGATAATGAAATCCTCCAGGTAATGGTATTTGTTTATGACCGGGTTAACATATCTCTGACAATATTTCACAGTTTAGGAAGTAAATCCTTATTTTAAGCAACAGTATTCAAACGTCCATAGCACTGAAACTGTGGGAAGATAAAAAGGATCACAGAAGAGAAAGTACATTAAAGATACGGTTGCTCCTGATTATTAAACCATCAGAGAGCTGAGCAGTAAATAATAAACCTAAATATAAATCGTAACTAATATGCACTAATTTCTAAGCTTCAGTCATAATGTCCAAACAGAATTGATAAAGTTTAGAAGGAGAACTGA